GAAATAGCGCTCGTGGGCATGGGAATATTGAATTTTACAATACATTCGTCGCTCCTCTCTGCGATTCTTTGTCGGACTTGTGTGTATTCTAAGCCGCCCCCATTTTCCCATTTGACAGGGTTGAACTTCTTCGTCTATTTGCCAACAGAAGCACTGGAAGCATTTGCAGAAAAGAGAAAATTAAACACTCACCTTCGCCCATAATCCAATTAAGTGGAGAAATCAGCGAGTAATTGTCAGGCATCATTGAAATTTTATGATATGACCTCTTTGGAATAGGAGAGCATTTCGACGACTGCAGCGCGAGTTTCCATGAGAAGATCATCAGATGGGAATCCCAAAGGGCAATTAGGGGCATGTTCTTGTTTTCTCTGATATTTCAATTTCAAGAGGACGAGCGCAGAGGCAGCGCACTCTCGCATTATATTCAATTTCATCTGTCATAACATGTACTTGGCGTGGAGTTGGACAGAAGTGAGGCTGAAAAACCCGCGCGCAGAGCGTGAATGGACAGAAAGCCAGCCGCGGATGAGAACATGATCGGAGGAGTTGCGAGGAAAAAAAGTATAATAAGTAGCTCATAAAAATCCGAAACGGTTTAATAATTACCCAGGAGAACATAGAGAAAAGAGGATTGTGGCTGTTTTTGTGCTCCTGCGGCATCGCAGCGTCTTCTCCCATATCTTTGTGGTTGTTTCTTGACCACGTGAAAAGTGGTAATTTGGAAAAGTACGGAAAAGAGCTAGGAATCATCCGAATCATGCCACGAGAAGCAGGTATTGAGGTCATGATGATTCAACATCTTATACATTAAGTATTGTTCCTTGGCTGTGTGACAAGGGGAAGATATTATGGTCAGAAGTGGTGTACACATCGCTAGACGTTTAAGAAAGTGGAAGTGTTTGAATAGCTTTGATTTTCTGATGATTATTTCGCTCTCAGAAAATAATTTGTATCCAAATCTGCATTTTGATGTATTTTTCTAGGTTAAGTCACTGATTTAAGACTGAAAAATATCTTTTTAAAGAAATTCTTCTGCCAAAATTAAAAATAATTTCATTTTATTTGTTTTTAGCGGAATGAATTATAAAATACCGTAGAAAAATGTGAGTTTTCAAATTGTCAGTTAGATTTTAGTTAGATTTGGGTTAGATTTCAGTCAGATTCTAGTTATTTGCTGATTTTTCATTCAAATAGTGGTGTACAGACTTAAGGCGTGTTATCTTTCCCTTTACTTTATGGTGTCTTAAGGGAGAAGCAGTTTGAGAGTGATTCTAGGATCTCATTGAAGCAAGAACTGCTCTGAAGCTTTAGTCTTCATCCTGAGAGTCTCTCTCGTTCTGGCCAGTGGATCCCTTTCGGGATGAATTGATTGAGTTATAAATTCCAGGTAAAATGGTCCAGCGGAATCATACTTAAGTGGTGGATTTGTTTAGCGAGCAAGCGAGAGAAAAGAACTGCGCCTTTTCTGGCCTCTTCCGCGTGCAATTGCTCGGTTTCTTGCCTCCCTGAGTCGAAAAATGCTCGTCTGATATCTCCCGCGGACCCCTATAATTACACACAGCCCAAAATGCTGCCTCTCAACTTTGAACCGCATGCACTGGAGCATTTATTTAAGGGCTTGGGTGCACGCTTTTTCGTACAACGGGAGGATTGCTGAGCGTTTTGCTCTTTTTTCGGGTGTTTTCTTAAGCGATCAAGAGGCAATAATTGCACGATGTCATGACAGATTGCAATGAAGGCTTTCTCATGCTCTCACTCTCTCTCTTCCTCCTAAGCGCAGCTCTTCTCGCATGCGAATCCCGGGCGATTTGCTGGGGGATTTTCCGTGTGTTTGTGTGCAGACACGGAGAATTGTGGGTCCAAAAAGGCCACACAACAAGAACAATGTTGTACTGTTTCTCCCAATGTTTGCCCTCACATGCCAAATTGAGACTTGATGAGACTCTCCACATCAAGTCCAAATTGAATGTGGTTGGGAAACACACTGTTGATTTCCAGAGTTCACCAGCTCTTCGTCTCTTTTTTCTCCACACTCTTTCGGCGCGACTTTAATCAAATAAGAGGAATATACAACGGCCAGACTTGAGCAACAAATGTGCATCAAATTCCCATGGCACGTAAACATCATCCATTAAGTAAATTACTAAATTATTTAGGAGGAACACTCGCTCTTCCGATCTAGCGATCATGGATGGAATCATGCGCGATGGTTTTGGGCAGATTCTTTCAGATATTTTGCAAAGATTCATTGTCTGTGGAAAATACACAAATATTGCCACTAAATCCACAAAGATTGACGTGACGGAGAGAAGTTGCGGTAATTATTGAATTAATCATCAAATTGCAAAATCTCTGGAGGTCCTGTGGATGAAATTGGATCACGATTTCGCGTTGCATATGGGCGCAGTGGCAGAGGTCAGCATCTCGACTGCAGTTTGGGTGATTAAAAATAATTATTTGCTTAATAAGCACACGAAAAACCAACCGAGACGCTCATAAACACGCCATTAAGAGCCCCAACGTCTTGAGGAATTGGGGGGAGAGAGAACATGATTAGGAACTCCTTCTCGTCAAATTGGCTCATTGTGTGGTTTAATTCTTCATGTTTTTCATCTCATTCGTGGCCATGGACTTCCTCCGACTCACGGATTGTGCCGACAATTCTCTGGGTCCGCCTCGAATGCATATTTTTCATTACTCGAGAGAGCAAAGGAAGAGAGACATTTCGCATTGATTAGTGCAAACAGGAGAGTGTAATTTATAAATTTGAGCAAGAAATTAATTTCTGTCTTCGGAGTTTTGAGGCTGTGCACAGGCGAGGGTGGGTGAAAAGCCACCCCTGTGAGATGGTGGATTTCCGCTCCTGCGATTGCTCAAGTCTCTGTCGAAATTTCGTATATGTGCTCACACTTCTGCTATATAATAAATTAACCTAATTAATTCTGGCTGCTGCCTCTCGAGCCCGCATTGTGGGGCTCGGGATGAGACGAACCGGAAGGTGGGCGGTCGGACAAAATGTATGCTCGCCGGGGTAAGGGATGCCGGGAGGAAGCTTACAAGCAGTGCCAATGAGTCCGGATGCGATGTTTACTTAGCCTGATTGAATTTACCCCCGAAGGTTTATTGCGCGCACCATAATTCCATTACAATTTACTTGTGCTCCTGACAAATATCCTCCACAAGAGAGAGAATTCTTTCACTCCTTCGGCGTGTCCTTGGCGCAATTTTGAGAGGGAGAGGCAAGAAAAAATCGTGGCACAAATTGAGCTTTCTCAGTGGGGTTTTTGCATTCCCGGCCGCCCTTTGGCGGCAAAGCCACAATTTCATCCCTCCGGGTGAGGATTAATTAACAACTCGTCACTTTATGCAGAATCACATAAGCACTAACATCCCTCGACATGCCACAGTCGTCATATCAGGTAATCGTCATCATTTTCACCGCACATGATGAGAATGTCTGTCTGTCTCTGCGTGACTGATTAAATTTTATCAAATCTCGACAGTATGAAAGGGAAATATTTATTAGGCATCACGGAACTGAAATCAGACAGAACGCATAAAGTCATTTCCTAATTTACAACCTAATCACCCATCATTTGCATTATTGATAAGGCCAAAAGCTCTCGATTGCCCGTTGAGGCTAAAATGACAGCGCGCGATATGGAAGTAATGAATGTTCAAGTATATTTCTGGGGATATATAATGAGCTGGATAAAAAAAGCCATGATTAATCAATGTATTTCCATTTCATTGCGCGCTGCAAATGAACTTTAATTTCAATTATCAGGTGGAATATAATCAGGCAATTTTATGGATAATTGCTTTTTGATTTATTGTTCGCCACTGATATTTGCGTTATTTAATATTATTCATAAATCAGCTATTTTCACTTCGTTCCCCAAAAATTCGATATATTCAATTGTGACAAGAGAGTGATATTTTAATTGCGAGATCTATTTTTTACATCCCTACAGTGGGGATATTTTTAATAGCGCCTCCGCGCGGCTCTAGAGAGAGCTAGAAGTCTGAAATTTTCAACTAATCTTCCCTCATTGATAAGTAATAATCATGCCAAGTTTGAAGACATTCGACATAATCCTTAATCCCTTTGTGATATCAAAACTAAGCTAAAGCAGAAAATGTCCCGAGATTTTAAATAGCGCCGTTTCCGCAATCTTTGATTATTCGTCTGTTACACTTGTTTTGGGTTCTTAAAGTAGTTTATATTAATCCAAGGTGTCTTCAGGATAATTTTCCTGCTGATTTTCATTCTTTATCTGGACTTTATACGTGTTTGATATCAAAATTTGATTAAGTGAACAATACGCGACTTCAAAGGATCGTACGGAGATTTTTCGACTGCGCCAGAAAGGACATTTTATCAGGGAAATAACCAGAAGGACCTCTTATTCCAGCAAGAGAGTTTGGTGCGCAATTGACCGCGGAAAAAGTGTCGCGAAATGTACTTTAGGTGAATTCCGTCATGTTTCCTTCTAAGTTTCTTTACGAATTGCTTGCTAAAATCCCTCCAATCCTATTAATATCGCGAGGAACGGATTTCATGAGCATCTTCAAATATTCACGTGTGTGTGCAGAAATCCTTTGGCATTGGATTCGCGGTGTCAGTGAGGAATCTCTGCCATATTGCAAGCACTGCAAGTGCAATTTCGCAGTCTCTCTCACTCGCCGTGATGTGTGAGAGAGCACGAGATGGAAAAAGTTCGTGTATCAACGTTGGGGAATTTAAAGTCACGAATTACCCAACCTGATTGTTTTGAATGATTATCCAAGGCAAAATTGTGGGTATTTACCAGGGCATTAATCGCAATATTTTATAGCTAAACGCTCTTGTGTGTATGTTTTTGCCCAGCATCCATAGAGTCATAATGTTGCGCACTTGATTTATTCCAATGGGCGATTTGTGGGCACAAAATGCAGGAAAGCTTTGCGCTTTTGTGGCTGTGTTTCTAATGAGGACATTCTGTGTCTGTTTGCAGTGCTGGGACCAATGCGCCACGGCCCCGTCCAAGATCAACACGTCAATCCAGGAGGCCTGGCCACTGCGCATCATCGCGATGATCCGGCAGGGATCGCTGGTGTCGGCGGACGTTGCCTGGCCCACGATGAGCGCGCCTAGTCAGTGTCTCGTCACATGGGAGGTCTCCGGAGGCGGTCTGATGGGTAACCTATTGACCGACTCGTCTAGTGTGCAGCTCTCGCTCTGGCCAGAGACCAAGTATCGAGTGCAGGTCACGTGCAAGAACAAGGTAAATATCCCAGCGAGAATTTCTTCATCATCTCCTTGGCCACACTCTAATCACCCCGCGCGCTCTCTTGCGTCTCGATCAAGGAGGAGATAATATGCCCTAAATCTGCACACTACAGATTTCCTCATGAATACCCAAATTATTATGAATTTCTTAAGTTTCTACTTGATATTTCTTCAAGAATCGGACTTTGAACCACTTTTTTGGATAGTTTTCGACAATATAACCTCAAAGTATCCGATTAAAAGCTTTTAAGATCACAAAATCATCTGTTATAAATTGCAAATGAACTAAGAATTGCTGATTCAGTATGAAAAAGGTCCGAAAAACGTTTTCTAAATGACAATTTTTGAGGTTATGTACAATCTTAACACGATTTGACGTATTTTTTGGCATTAAAGGAGTCCAATTCAAGGAAAAAATTATGTTGTATTGAATTTCCATTCGATATTTGTGTAAGAATTAATTTTCTACCGCTTTTTTGGGTGTCTTTTCCGATCATAACCTCAAAATATCACTAAAAGATCTTCAAAATTTGCCAATGGTCTTATAATTACTGATTCTCAGTGAAAATTGCCCAGAAAGTTGTTTAAATTGGGATTTTTCAAGTGTCTAAATGACTATTTTTGAGATTATGTGCAATCTTAACACAATTTGCAGTGTTTCTTGGCATCAAAAGATGAAAAAAAGCACTGACAATTGCTTGCAAATTCTCAATTCTGCCAAGAACTAGCAGAATTGATGTGCTAAAATGCGAATTATTCACTAAATCTATTCTTAATTCGTTACATAACCTAGAAAAAAGGAATATTACGTTTGTTTCTGCGTGAAAATCGAAGGAAATCCAAAGAATATTGTAGGTTTTTCAACACTTCCACTCCTTAAGTACTTCCGCTGAGCTGTACACCACTTTTGACTGCATTATCTCCCCCTTGGCCTTGATTGATCCCGAATTCTCTTGTATACGCAAATTTCATCTCCTCTGCGAAAGGCCCTGTGCAAGCGAATCAGAAGATATTTACGAGTTCTGGGCCTCGCATTTTATTGCCATGTGTCGCATCGTAAAAATTGATGCTGACACCACTGGAAATTTCGCGCTCCTTCGCCTCACACACTCTGCGTATCGGCGAAACGCATAAAAATGCCTCTCTTGACATCCCGATGAACCATTGAGACGCTGCGCCTTTTGGGAATGCTGTGATTGTCATCAGACAAATTTCTCCCGCGAGAGAGAGAGAAGAAAGAAGAAAAAGAGGCCGAAGAGTGCCAGAGACACTCAAGTTCCAGCAAATCAAATAAAATCATCTTCTAGGTCAGAAGTTTTCAAACAAGAACCATCACCGCACGAGAAATTGTGAGATAAATTTAATGACTTTTAAATGACTTCCTTTCGCTGTTCTTCTGGCACAATAAAATAAGATTTTTTTCCCCTCAATCTCATGAGAATTTCGCAGTGATTGGAGAAATTTGACCAAGTCTTGAAATTCATCAAAATCAGTGGAAATTGACGAGAAATTTGTGAATCTTGAATAAAAATCAAGAATGAATAAAAAGAAGTAGAATATCTGAGGATATATTTTAGAATATTTGAGGTTATTTTTAGGTTATTATTTGATTCTTTTGATAATTTTCAGTCAAATGCTTAGTCGAATATGAATAAAATTCCTAGAAAAACTACCCTAAATTAAGCTGAATAATCGAAAATGATCCGAATGTCGCTGAAACGCAATCTTACTGCAAGAGAACATCTGTGCAATAATAATGCACATTATTAACATATTTGTCGCCCGAGGGTTAATTTCTGGACCCCTTAAGGCGCTGGCAAACACCCCATGACGATTCTTAGGGGTGAACGGAAATTTTGTGCAGCATTTTATCATTTTCTGCCTGTGATCTTGATCATTTCAAGACTTTTCGCATTCAACACTCTGTTCTGACGTCGGAAAATGGGCGGTTTTTTCGCAAAGACGATCGATTAAGAGCACAAAAGCAAAGTGGATTGAGGTGTGCTTGTCCCAATTCAAATGATACATTCACAAACTCTAAACGTCTTTAATGGCTCTTTAATGATTGCCGATTTTTTGGTACTTTCTTTGCGTGCAGATCTGCAAACACTTCTAAAACACTGCGCGCAATCGAGATGAAAAAAAATCACCACGCTGAATACCGTAAGATTATACCTGAGATGATGGTGATTCGGGAGAATTTTCTCAGAGAGAGATTACATTGGCGGAGATGATTTACTGGGCAAAAAGAGTTATTCTATGTACAGAACTCCACTTTTTATGATCATTAGAGAGCCAGAGCTCGTTGTATTTTTTTTTCTTTCCACCATCCGTTTTTGTATCAAGTCTCAAAGAAGCCCAGAGAGAGAGAGAATTTCGTGAAAAGAAAACACACAGCAATTCTCCAAAGGCCTCGCGAAGAAAGACTTTTTCATCATGGACGTTTTATAACGCAATATAAAAATCTATTTACGCTTGTATGAACAGAAGCATTAAAAACGTATAATGATGATCGAAAATGTCTTTACGGTATACAAAGTCTCTCTCTCTTCTCTCTCCGCGGGTTTTTTTTTCTTCTCCTCATCGCTCGCCTGAGTATATATTTTTCATTAGGGACACACTCTGGGTTGCGCGCCTTTTTTATCCGCGCGTCTCTCATGGTATTTCACGATTTAAAATAAATAATGTTGAAATAATCGAGAGAACGTTGAACGCATTTAGCGTAAATGGAATTGAATGGCGCGGAGCCTCTTGTTGTCATCGACACACGGAAAATGGGGCAAAATGGGGGCGCTCTCTTGGGCTACAAGTGGATCCACTCGACCGAATAATATTCCAATTTGATTTATGGCTCTTCTCCCCTCTTTTGATGCTTCCATGGGCAAAACACACACAAATAATTGGTAATTTTTTATCATCTCCGCGCGCGCGCTCCTTTCGTCTCTCGTCATCGACTTATGTGAAATCATGTGGAAATTCTATTCTAACCAGCATCGCCAGCGTCACGAGAAAGAGCGGAAGCAAGTGCAGACATTGTGGATTTTAGGGAAAAATCAGAGGTCAGCATTAGATTTGGCTTAAAGCTTCAACTGTTTGCGGTGAAAAAACGATTGAGAAGCGAACATTATTGATTAAAGCCATTTTCCAAGCTGTGTTGAGTGAAATTTTCCCCACAATTTCCGCTGCTGTGCAGCTGCAGAGATAAGACACATTCACTGGTCGTGCTGAGAGATAAAATGTGCAAATTTCACCCAATTCGCTGGGCAAAAGTGCTCCAAGGGGGAGATAATATGGTCAGAAGTGGTGTACAATTCAATTGAAGTATTTGGAAGTATTAGTGCTTGAATAATTTCAACATAATGCGTTAAAAGTCACTTTGAAAAGAAATAAACGCAATGCTTTAAGGGAAAAGAATTGTTCTTTGCATTTTTCTATGTTATGTTTGTGAATTTAAGACAAACATAACCTAGAAATAACCTCCAAAATCATTCATTCTTCCACCTAAACTGGGTTTAATTTGCATTTAATGGCACAATGACAATGGAATTTGATGAAGATCATAAGTTTTCAGTGTTAAAATCATGTTAATTTAGCCATGATTCATCATAAACTCTAAAATATTGTTTTAACATACAAAATTGTCTTTTTCAAAGGTTTTTCATTGATTTTTTACTCTAAAATAGCAAATTTTAGCCCATTATCAATTAGTTTTGCCTCTAAAAGATTTCAAATAGTTTCTTTCAAGAATTCTTTTTAGATATCTGAAGGTAATTTTAAGGTTATGTTTCAAAGTGTATAAAAAAAAGTGATTGAAAATTGAATTTTATCAAAATATCCACTAAAAACTTCAAATATTTCTTAAATACTGTTCCTCTTTAAGTTATCATGGTAAAAAAGTAAAAAATTGTGTCTTTTTTTAGAGAAAAACTCCTAAATTTGAGGTTATGATACTTTATGCAGTCGAAAAAGTCTATAAAGTTCCGAAAAATGGGAAGAAAATAAGGAAAACGCATGTTTTAGGCGCTGCTGAAGTTGTGGAAGTGTCAGGAAGTGGTGTACACGACCTATTATCTCCCCCTTGGCTTCCGCATCGGGCGGTTTATTTGCAAAAAGGCAGAGCGCGATTTCGCCTACAAATCGCGCGCCATTTGGCGAGCATACCGCCAATTGCAGGGCTTATCACTCATCAACATTTTGCGCCGTGTTGCCGTGGCTTATATGCAATAAAAGTACAAAATATGCTGGCAATAATCAACACGAGCGCGAGAGGTGTTAAGGTTGGCGCTGTAATGTCTCAATTTACTTGGACAGCGTGTCGGCTGTACATAAAACACCGATGAATTACGTGTAATTTTCGACTCTTGCCGCGCTGCCCAACGCCATCGTGAAAGTCCACGGCAATTTCTTGCAATTAATTGCCGTGATTTCTCCCACTGCACAGCCCTTCTCGCCACTGCTGGGACACTTTTAATTAGCCCACGACTACGCCAATGCCGAGCCTCCTTGGCGGAAATTTACTTTATTTCCCTTTGTCATACGACGATTGGGGCCCAGAAAGCATCGCGTGACGGTGAATTAATTAGTATTTTGTACGCTGATTGTGTGAGCTTCTTGGTTTAGATGTGGAGAGAAGAGACAAGGAGCTTTTTGTGCTCCTTTGACAGCAATTCCAGCGATTCCAGCAGAGGTATAAATCTGCAGAGAATTCCAGTGGGAAAAAAAAATAAGAAAATACATGGCAAAAAGTCTCCCTCTCTTTTCATAATTTCACCCGGCGACCATTCAAATGGCTGACGCTCTTGTGAGATTTATTGGTGAACGCTTCAATTTCCTTTACGACAGAATGGCTCTTTTTGCGCTCACTCACGCTCACCCGCAACCTTCCAATCTCCCGATAAATCAACGTTATGGCAATTATTCCGTCAGCAGTGTGCGCTATCAGCGCGAACAACGAGGACAAAATCCCAGAGCTTTTGTACCCTTTTTCCGCGCTGT